AAAAAAAGAGTTCTAAAGTGCTGCCTTTAGTGTTCCCTGCCTTCCCTGAACCTAAGGGGAAAAAAGAAAGAAAATATCCCCCTCTAGTGGCAGAAGGCAGAATAGCAGCTTCCCATTAGTTTCTATGGACAGAAAAGAGCAGATACGGATTAAATGGTTTTCAATGCATTCCTACGGGAAATGCAGATTCGACTTAAGAACTTTTCGACTTGAGAACCACCTTCCAATACGGATTAAGTTCTTAAATCGAGACCCCACTGTATTTTCCGCACTTCTAAATAAAGTGATATGCAGAAGGAGTAGAAAACATTATAGGCACGCCTCACAGCTTAAAGAAAATGGCATGAAGAAGAACTGTTAAATGTTCTGATCATTAAGAACAATAAGGAGTGTTAAGACCTGCCAGGATTCATAAGGTGAGACTGAGAATTGAGATAAATTCCGGAAAAAAATCCGACCATGATTCTTCTTTAGGATCCAGGATATTTATGCCATAGTTTTACAGTTAGCACACTGAAGACCACTTTTTGATTTCATTCATTATATTTACATTTTCTTGTAATAGGCATATCTTTCCATTTTTTAGGCATACCTCTGGTCTTGAATACCACAACAGAAAAAATACCAAGTGCAAAAACTGTTTTTCAGCTTCTCAGAGTGGAAAGCCTTCAAAGAGTATAGCAAAAGTGAGAGAAGATGATGTAATAGTTTGCAGCCTTTCAAAGGGAGCTATACTTGGTTTTTTTTTTGCACCTCAAATTGCTGCAATACTACATAAAGAATGACAAGATAAAAGGTTCTGTCTGCATCCGTTTACCTAGAGTTGAAATTGAAATTCTCTCAAAAAATCCAGGCAATTGGGGCTTTGGGGAGAATTTCACCCTTCTCCCTTCCTTGAATTCCTTCACTGGTCTGGAGGTTGGGGTCACACATTCCCTTCCCCCGCATCATCAGCCAAGGACCCACACACCACTCAGAGCACACTGCTCTTCTCCTCCTGTTCGACCAGAGGGAAAGGATGGAAAGAAACAGGTAAACGATGCCACTTGGAGGCCGATTCCATCCCATACTTACCGTGAGGTTTTCCAATTCTAACTGTCGCACGGTATAATAGGATTTTACTTCTTCCGATATCAAAGTTAATGTGAAGTTTGTATCCTCAAAGACCATCTCTTTCTCCTCCATTTGTGGCCAGTACTGTGCACACTTTATCTGGGGTGGGGTAGGGAAGCAAACACAAATCATTTAACAAAGGAAAACACAGAATTATCAATCTTATTTACACTGCATTATTAGCATACATGTCACTTCAAGAGCTTCAGAGGGGAAAGAACAAACAGCAACTCCTCTCTACCCTGCTTGCATGTAACTTAGGAAATGCTTACAACACAGATTCTGAAAAACGGAAAATAAGCCACAGTTTCCCCATAGACGTGAACTATATAACAGGAAACGTGAGGAACAGAGTAACTGGAACTCCTGAGAAGGCAGAATTTACCTTTAAAAGCTTTCTGAAGATGACAGAGGTTGCCTGGGAAATGATAGTGAACACACTTTACAAAAGGCGGCAAAGGAACACATTAGGTGCATGTATTGTGGAGGCAGAAAGTAGTTATGGGGTAGAGCACATACTTGATATATGGAAGATCTTGGGTTCAATATATCTCCACTGTGAAGGGTCTCATGTCAGGGTTGGGATTACTTCTTCCTGACACTTTCAGGAGCTGTCGACTACCGGTATAGACTGTAGTCCTCAAATACGTTCAGCTTCCGATATGTACGTGCACATGCGTGTCGGACAATCTCTACTGATTGTTTTGGCTGTATTCTTCAGCTTCAGGAGGAATTGTACTGATTAGTCCTCACGCAACTGTCAGACTCAGTGAATGAAAGTAATTAAATAAAATTTTAAAAAAATCAGCAGTGTTAACTGGCATTAGGTATGGTAAGTGTTCTGTGAGGACGAAACATGTTAGCTAAAATAAAAACATGAGACATCGTGGACTAACGAGGCAAGTCAAATTTTTTGTTGTCGCTATGCGTTGCCAAGTCCAACTCATGGCAACCCCATGAATGAGCCATTTCCAAAATGTCCTGTCTTCAATAGCCTTGCTCAACTCTTGTAAACTCAGGCCTGTGGTTTCCTTTAGGGAGTAAATCCATTTCATATTTGGTCTTCTCTTTTCCTACTGCCTTCAACCATTCCCAGCAGAGAATCCTGCCTTCTGATGATGTGCCCAAAGTAGGACAGCCTCCGTTGCAACACTTTTGCCTCCAGAGATAGTTCAGGCTTGATTTGATCTAGGGCCCATTTATTTGTTGTTCTAGCAGCCCAGGATATTTGTGAGGCTCTCCTTCAAAAATTACCCTAACGATTTAGAGGATGCTATTTGGAGGCCAGAAGGTTACTTTCAGAAAGCTGGAACCCTTCCTTCTGGAGCTGCAATTGAGTTGTTTAGCTCACCTCATCTTCTCCTACCAAAATCTTAATCTCCTCCTCCAAAAGTCCTAGTTTTACGAGATCATTTGGATCACATGTGGAATAACTGAAAGGTTAGAATGATGTGTTCTTGTTGAAAATGAAATCTGAGCATTTCATGTACTTAAGCACTGAACTAATCATAGTAATTCTGTCAGTACGAATTTGCCAAGAAATTCAAGAGCTTCCTTATTAGACATGTTTACAGACAAGAAATCAGAAGAAGTTCATGGACTGGAAATGTGGAACCATGCTAAAGAATAATATAGAATTTATTATGCCTACACTTTTGACAACTAAGAATATGTGCTTGTTGAGAATGCTTTCAAAACTAGTTTCTCTTTAGGATCATAAACCAGCAACATTTGACAAAGGGAATGTTTATCTCTCACAAAGTTTTAGTGTTCCAGTTACAGTGTTATGGCCATATCTTTCTTTCCGTTTTTTTTTTTTTTTGGCAACATTTGTCAAAGAAATCAACACTTTGGCTACTATTCATGAAGCATGGGATAGTCTTTTACAGAACTGAAACCAGTACACTTCATAAACAAAGGACCTCAGGAAATGGTCATCAATCCACAAAACATTTTATCCAGATTGTTGAAGCAACCAGACTATCGTAGGAGACACTCATATCTTCCTTCCTCTAATGCCTGAACAGTTATCACTCAGCTTGATATAGCAATGAATTATAATCTTTCTGGCATTTATTTTTAATTGCACCTTGCCAGAGAATTTGCTTCTCACATGTATTTGTACAAAACAGTTGACAAATAACATATCCCTCACAATGTTTCATAGGGAAGCAATAGCAGCCTGCCCCCACAGGATCTCAACAATTCCAAGCTTTGTTCCAACTTACTGGCAGTGGGGAAAATCATGTGGGGGTGGATGGGAGAAGGAGGAATGGTTTGGCACGTAGTTACAAGACTTTTCTCTTTTAATATTTGATTCCTTATTGCTGTGGAAGACTCCATTCAGTGACAGAAAAGCTGCTGCAAGAGACTTCTGTAGGTAGAGGGAATTCTGTTTCAGCCCCCACAACTAGAAGTGAGATTCACCTTCTACTAAAGGACGAGTGACGTGAGATATATAAGAACTTAAATTATGTCATTTATGTGTTCAACTTTGGTAGGAAAAGCAAGGGCATGCAAGACTGACAACACAAGAAACGTAACAGAAGAGAGCTCACACCATATTGGTTTACAGTCCAATGAGAGTCTTAGTAAAAATGACAGACGTTCATACAGACATGAATGCATGCTCAGCTATTTTCCTCCATTCTTTCAATGTTTTTAAAAATGTGCTGTTGAGTCTGTTCATGAGCATTTTATGTTTGTCACCTCACTATTTGCAAACGCCTCTGAGAATTTCTAATGACATCAATTGGAAATACGATTATAGCTTTCACTATAAATTTGTAGATTTTTTTTTTTTAACCAGAGCTTACTTCTGAAAAGGAACAAGCATTCGGAGAAAACACAATGAGCCTAATTCTGGACAAAACTGCACAAAACAGTGGGGCCAATGTCTACCCTCTTCCTAAGGAAAATACGTAGGTTGAAAAATCAATTTAAAAACGGGTGTATTTTGAATCTACAAACCAGATCCAGTTTAATCACTACAGATAAAAATAAATACCTCATATAGACTGTATGTTTTAGCTGCTTAACAAATTCACTGATGGTGTCTGAAATCTGCCGTATGGTTTCAAGAACATGAATATGAGGGAACTATGGCCATTAAGGGATTATAAGAGGAGGAATATGAAGGAAAATTATAAAGAAGTATTATTAACAATGCAAGGCATACAAGAAATGGCTTTCAAATAATCTTTTTAAAAGGAGCACCTTCTACATGGACTAATCAGCAAAGGATCTCCTCCATGCCTCCAACAAAACTCAAGTACACTATATAGACAACTTTGAGTCACACTGCTAAGTCAGGCTCTCTCAAGACATTCAGGAAAATCTGTTGGGCATCTGTTGCCCTGTAAACTTAAGAGTAAAACCCAGAACACAGTTGTGTTTTTCTGGCTACAGAGTACAACAGGAGGAAAAGAAGATTTTTTAAAAATGGAAAACTATATCTGGGAACATAAGAAGCTTGCTTACACAGTGAGGCCAGTGCTCAATCTTAACTTGGTATCATTTACTACAATCTTTCACAATCACTGGGACTCCTGGCGTTCTTTGGCTTCCAGAAGCCCCAGCTAGCAGGGCTAATGAGCAGGGATTCTTGGAACTTCATTTCTTGAAGTTCTAGGAACTAAAGTTCCAAGTAAAACATACGGAGGTTGAGAATGACCAGTCTAATACACTTTCTAGCAGTGTTTCAGACATTCCAGGAACTAGAACTGGGGTGTTTTTGGATATGTTCTATCCTGACCCTCTCCCCTTTTTCTCTGAAAAGCTTGTCCACCATTACTGATGCTTTGATTAAAGGACTCCTGTGAAACCTCTAAGTATCTCCACAACTTCTTGGAATTACAGATTTTTTTTAAAAAACTAAATGGTAGGTCAGATCCTGGCTTCCATGCTGAAGCACCGAAGAACATTCCTAGCTATGACATTCCCTTTCACCACAATGTGTGTTTGAGCTCAATTGATGCAAACATTAAAATACATTTTTCAGAAGCAGCTGCAAAAAGATGAGTAGCCACACATGTCCCATCTGTTCCTTTTTGGATTCTAGTCGTTAATATATAGGCAATCATCACAAGAAATCAGGAAAAGTCTAGTGCCAGTTTGTAACATTCTGTTTATACTACTTGCTTCCAAAAGGCCTCAAAGGAAAAGCCAAGACATTTCAAATGATCATAAAAAGTACAAACAATGTTGCCTGGCTGTGGAAATGAACTGGAGAAAATACCTTTACTTTGAAATAAACTATACTATTTTTTTAAAACTATGAATGCATGCAGGACACAGCATGCATTTAATCTTCACTCTACTCATCCCACACCTACCAATATTCTTTTTTAAAATGTAAAAGAATTTTAATTTACATGAACACCAGTTGTTATTTTTTAAATCTTGATGTTTCCTTCCAATATTTTCACACCTTTTCAGGTAGCCCAACAAAATCAGACACTAGGGGTGTTAAAATATTTGAGGTAACTTAGTTTACCTCAGCAGTCATTTCTTCATAAATGTATTAAGAGTTAGAAAGAAGTTAGGGGCTAAATGAATGCATACATATGTTCGGCCCTCACTATACCCAATGTTGAGAAGACACAGATGCTAAGTAAATCGTTTCCTTGCATAGGGTCATACTGCAATTCAGTTCCACCTTTCACCCATAAAAGGTGATCCCAAGGAGGTTCACAATAATTAGAATACAAGTAAGATTAAAACCACAATAAGTTAGTCAATTTGGGGGGAGGATCAATATACAATGGTATAAATAATAATTATCTAAAAACGGTAAAAGAATATGTAAAAACACACTTAAGACACTAACCAAGGTTGCAAGGAGAACCTAGCTTTAATGTCCACTATATTTATTAAGATCCTCTTTATAAAAAGGAATGTCTTTACTTATTACTAAAAAGACAAGAGGAAGGCTGCTGATCTAGTCTCCCAAGGGGGAACATTCCAGAACCCTGGGAGCAGTTACAGGAAAGGCCCTCCTCTTGTTTTTCCACCAAACATGACTGCGAGGGCAATGAAAAAAGAACCTCCCCAGAAGATTTTAGGAGCCAAGAAAGCTCATACCTTCTAAATCGGGAAGATTCCACAATATTTCCGTTTTGCTTCATCGACACCTTTTGTCCTTTGTGCCTACAAACTGGACAATTCTCTAGAGAGATGGTTGTCTAGCAACATTTTTTCACCAGATGTCAAACATTGGTATGCATCGTATATCCATGTCCACAAAACAAACAAAGGTTCTCAAAAAGATTTTTATTACTTACTGATCCCTTTTCCATCACTCTGTTAAGCATGACAACACCACGGCTTTTCTGTTCCCAAATCATCTCCCAAAAGTGACCACATGTATTTGGCAGAGGGCCCTGCAATGACACAAAACCTTCAAAAGGAAGCTATATTTGTGGGGTATAAGTTCCGAGTATTGTAGCCAGGCTACATTTATCTTGCAGCTACATTTATCTCAGCATAGGCAGTGGGTTCAGTTTGGGATAGATAAATATGTTGCTTTAAGCCATTTTGCATTATTCTGAAATAGCTCAGTATGTGCATGGGCATTTTTTAAAGAAAGTTTTCAGAACAAACATCTGGCAAGATCAAGGTTTCTTATCTGTCTCTGCTCCAAAATCACTTTAAGAAAGTTTGTTAAACAAAACAAACAAAAACAACAAAAACAAAAACAACAACAACAACAAAGGCAAATGGGCTATTCAAGTTTGTTAAACAAAACAAACAAAAACAAAAATAACAAAAACAAAAACAACAACAACAAAGGCAAGTGGGCTATTCTTGTGAGATGTATTTAGATGTCTCTCCTATCAACATATTTGATTCACTGAAACGCGGTGGGGAGGAATAGAAGCTAACTGCTAGGAAGTTCTTTCATCTTTAACATTTTATGAAGAGCTTGGGCACAGCACTGATAAAAGGAGATCAAAAAGAGTATACTATTCCTGCTGAATGTTTACCCTAACAATGTAAAAAGTATCCTCTCTTTTAGGTCAAAGTTTCTCTCTTTCCCACCAGTTATGTAACAGATCAGTCCACACTGTCTAAAGCAGAGTTTCCCAACTATGCGTAACCCAGATGTTCTTGGACTGCAATTCCCAAAAGCCTTTACCGCGAGGTGCACTGGCTAGAGTTTCTTGGAATTTCAGTCCAGGAATATCTACCTGGGTTGCCCAAGGTTGGGAACCACTGGTTTAGAAGCATTAAAACTTCTAAAAAGTTATTTGGGATTTAAGCTGGAAAGGAAACATTTTCTAAAAATGGGAGTTTACCACCACAAGGATTGGAAGTGCAGTGATCTGCCTGTGGGGAAAAAAAGGGCAACGTATCTTGAGTGGCTGCAGGTCAGTTTCACTCCTCCACCATCAGGACTTAATAAAATGTATGTTGAGATTTGGAATTGCCAGATCTATCCGTGTTCAGGAGAACAGACACAAAACAGTGTTTTACTCAACCTCTGATTGGCTTATCATGGACAGGTGACTCTCAAATTCATAAAGTTTCTATGGAGGTTATCAAACAACTTTCTACTGATCACACTATATTAAATTCCCATTTTTGGAAATTTTCACCTTCTCTCAAGGGTAGGCAAAGCCGAGTCCTCCAGCAAGGACTGGCAGACTGCACTTTTGCTCAGCCCTGTTTACACTGACCTTACTTCACTTATATTCCCAACCCATGGCCACTTTCCTTACTGTCTTACTCTTATTCCATGTTGTCTCAGGATTCTGACTGGACAGATGCCGCTTAATTGATTCCTCATCTGAGCTCAACAGTGACCCTTCTGTTCTACTGCAAAACCTTTCAATCACTGCATTACATTTGGAACAGCATTTCACAGTACCATTTTCAAAAAGAACTCAGATTGCATTTTGTTTTGTTGAATAGCTGATGTAGTAAAAATTATGACCTAAAATGTTCATGATGCAGAAATACCTTGTGAGCGTGCCCTATGGGGTAAGATCACAGTTTGGAATGCATGCATATTGGGGCTGAAAAAGTGCATATCTTGAGATGTAATTATCACACCTTAGTTCGACTATATATTAATTCCCTCTATGACAGTGATGGCGAACCTATGGCATGTGTGCCACAGCTGGCATGCAGAGGCCTGTCCATGGGCACGCGAGCCATACGTTGCCCAATCACTACCCTGCAGCCGAACCTCAGGATCGTAAGCCACGTTTCCCTGGTAGCTTCCTTGGTTGTGGCACTTGTAAATCAGGCACTTGTAAATCAGTTCTTTTGAAGATCGGAGATAAAGCTGCTTTATTGTCTACTGCTTTAGAAGAGACCACCACAGTTAATCCAGCTTGAGAACTGCTACTTCCCCTGGAAGCAGGAGGGAAGACTGCAATTAAGGAGAGAAGGAATGCACGAGAGAAGGGGATGAGTGGATTCATCAAGCTTGTTTAGCTGTAATGAGAGGAAACAGGATCATAGTGAGCTGAAGCAAATGATTGCAGAAAATTTAGGAAGTGTGTGTGTGTGTGTGTGTGCACGTGAGAGACTGACTTTCATAAAACCATGAAAAAAGGAACCTTCCAAAGTGTGCATGTGTGAGTGAGACTGACTCTTTCATAAAACCATGAAAAAAAGGAACCTTCAAAAGTGTGTATGTGAGAGAGACTCTTTCAGAAAACCATGAAAAAAGGAACCTCCCAAAGTTTTCTTTGACTGCAATACCAAACAAAAGTTCTTACAAACTGTGGCTTTCTTCATTGAGTTAATCCATCTCATATGCAATCTTCCTCTTTTCCTACTGCATTGCACTTTGTCCTGCACTGCTGCCTCTTCCAGTGATTTTGTCTTCTCATGATGCCACTGTAGTACAATACCCTTCGTTTGGTTATTTTAGCTTCCAGTGAGAGTCCACACTTAATTTGCTTTACTTATCTTTCTGATAAGTCATGATATCTGTAAAGCTCTTTTCTAACACTACATTTCAAATAAGTAAAATATGTGTATGCACTTTATGTAGTGCATAAAATGTGGGCAAACACTATACACTTTATGTAGTGTATAAAATGTGGGCAAACACTTTAAAAGTCAGCACTCCTATATATAGCTGCTTTTTTGAGGATGGCTTACTTTGGAGGAAACAAGTCCAGGATTTTAATGTACTTAATAAGCTTTAATTAGAGGTCGAGCTGAATAAACGCATTAGCAAAGTAGCTACCATATTCTCTAGACTCACAAAGAGAGTATGGCTTAATAAGAACCTGATAGCATACACCAAGATCCAGGTCTACAGAGCTTGTGTCATGAGTACACTCCTGTACTGCAGTAAGTCTTGGACGCTTTGTGCACGACAGGAGAGAAATCTGAACACGTTCCATATGTGTTGTCTCCGACGCATTTTTGGTATCACCTGGGAGGACAAAGTTCATTTTTGGTATCACCTGGCAGGACAAAGTTCCAAATAGAGTAGTCCTAGAACTACCTGGAATTTTTAGCATGTATACATTAATGAAACAGTGACGTCTACGTTGGCTTGGGCATGTGGTAAGAATGGCTGACGGTCAGATTTCAAAATTTCTCCTGTATGGAGAATTAGTACAGGGAAAGCACCCCAGAGGGAGACCACAGCTGTGATACAAGGGTATCTGCAAGTGGGATCTTGAAGGCATTAGGAATGGACCTCAACTGATGGGAAACCTTGACATCTAAGTGTTCGGCTTGGAGGCAGGCGGTGCATCATGGCCTCTCCCAATTTGAAGAGATACTTGTCCAGAGGCCGAGGCAAAGAGGCAGTCCTGAAAGCAGCAAAATCGGGGAGCTGGACAGGGGACAGATTATATTTATCTTCAGTGTGGAAGGGATGGTCCCTCTCAAATTGGCCTTCTCAACCACACTAGATGCTGTTCCAAGACCTCTCTCTATTCAGAGCACGTGACCATAGTCTCTGGGAGAGAAATATCTACAATGCTAGATTTTGGAAATGTGGAAAGGGAGCTATTGGAATTTCAAGAAAACTCTATCTGGAAAAATAAATTCTATGACCTGCGTGCATCACTGGAGAAGACAGAGTGCAAAGGGATGACAAAGGACAGCACAGTTGGTAGTTCTGAAAATGAAATCCTTAAAGTGTGGAATTCTTTGCAAAATAATTTTAAGTCAATGAAAGCACTTGGGATTGCTCTTTTTACTTTGTTTGGGTCATTTTATGCTTCTGAGCAGCTGTTTTCAGCTTTGAATTATATCAAATCTGATACCAGAAACAGACTGACAGATGACCTGAGTGCTGCATCTGTTGCTCTCATATTAACGGCGTATGAGCCCAGGTTTGACAATTATCAGCATGCATACAACATCAAAAATCACATTAATTGTGCAAAAGCATGCCAAATTCAAACTTTTACCTAATGCAGTTTGTAATCCAAGACGCTAGTTTATGATTTGTTTAAAGTGTGTTAAGCAAGTTTAGTTTTCTTGTTTATCTTGCTCATACTAATACAGGTTGACTTTTATTTTTACTAATCCAACAGGGAAAAGACTGTTGGATTAGTAAAAGTAGAAGCAGGGAAAAGACCTGGAGTAAAGCTTGCCCCATACTATTTCAGTCTGGCACATAATCATATTACAACTTGAGTATCTCTTATCCAAAAATACATATACAGAATTATTTTTAAAGTTTGTATAAATTACCTGGCTTCAGGCCACGTATACAATGTATTTTTTAAATAATTTTTTCCATTTACTAGAGTTGATTGGTTTTTTTCAATAAAAAAGTGTTTGTACCATTGAAAGCTCTGTTACTGTGTATTTATTTTAAGAGAAAAGATGTTGATTAGTTCAGACAACTGTATGAGTTGTTTTTTCTAAACCAAAACCCTAGTATTCAGGTTTAATTGCAGTGTTGGCACTTTGAAAGAAATAATTTGATTTTCTGTTGTCGTTTGGGCACTCCGGCTCAAAAAGGTTCACCATCACTGCTCTATGACATGAGAATGACCAAATATTTTCCTGTCGCGCACCCCCAGTGACCCCTATGTGTTTTGCTTCTCACACAAGTTCACATTTGGGCACGACTTGTTCTTTTTTCCTTTTTTCGCTGCCACCAGAGGGTGTTATCCTGACTAAATCAATTATGAGTCTCACACTCTTGCTGCCAAATAAAGGAGAACCCCAGTGCTCCTGTCATAGGCTCCTGCACTGGAGCTCTAAAATGACTGACAGGATTGTTCTGAGGTAATTTTTTCCCATTTACTAGAGTTGATGGGTTTTTTTTTTCAATAAAAAAGTGTTTGTACCATTGAAAGCTCTGTTATTGTGTATTTATTTTAAGAGAAAAGTAAAATTTGGGCACTCCGGCTCAAAAAAGTTCGCCATCACTGCTCTATGACATGAGAATGACCAAATATTTTCCCTACTGGCATTTTTTTAGTTTTCATAACATTTGAAGCTACAAATCACTCTCTAACGTGGGCAAGGGGTTTTTGCTCAAGTCAGTATTAATCATTTCTGGAAACTTCTCACATGGGACCAAGTGAAAAAACACAGAAACAAAAATAGATCTCACCGTTGCTCATACTAGATGTTTAGGCCTAAACCAGTGGTCCCCAACCTTGGGCCTCCAGATGTTCTTGGACTTCAGCTCCCAGGAACCCTGGCCAGCAGTGGTGGTAGTGAAGACTTCTGGGAGTTGTAGTCCAAGAACATCTGGAGGCCCAAGGTTGGGGACCACTGGCCTAAACAAATCAAAGGGCACATAAGTAACTTACAAGTACTAAAAAGATAGAAGATCCCACCAAAAGGAATGGCTTCAGGAAGCAAAAGCTAATCATATCATGAATTATTAACAAGAACGGTGGGGTAAAAAGTTTCCTGTACTGCAGTTTTGGGAAGTAATTTATTTAATTGTTCAACAGAACAAAAAAGTACATACTGAGAGGAATTAAGTAGATGCTCCTGGAAAACTGTCCATATCTCCCCTAGGGGAGATCCATTTCTGAGAGCCACTGAGAAAGTATCAGAATTTCATCTTTTTTACATACCTGACCAATTATTAGCTATCAGGAAGGAGGTCACAACTGTTCACTTCTAAGTTACTTAGACCACAAAAGCATGGAATAGTCTGTAGTGAAAAATGAAGAAAAGCAACCCTCTAATGCTAGTGCTCGTGAGTGGAGCTACGTAAGCATGGAGGATTTTAGAATGCAGAAATCACAACTATAGGTTACAATTCTAGGTATACGAATGACAAAAGGAAACATCCTCTGCGTATATACATTTCAATCTTACTCAATCTAACAAAGCTATAGACTAACAGAATTTTTAAAATTTCTTTTCACAGGCTCCTTCAGTCTCTTGAATTCACATTTCATTTCTGAAAGTACCTCAGAACCCAGTAGATCACTGGTGAGCTCTCTTTCCTAGGTGGGTCCCTCACTATTTGGCTGATTTCTCCTAGTTCCCATATTCTTTTCCTTCATTCAGTAAAACTTTACAACAATGAAAAAAAATGCATACAATGGGAAATGAAAGTATTTCACCTGTTTTCCCAGTCTATACACATACTACAGAAGAAAGTAGCCACATAGACATTTTCAAAAGAGAAGAGAAACACTATTAAACTGACTCTGTCCTCCAAAGTACGTTACCTGTGTGAGGATGTAGCTCCTGTTCGCCTCTTCCATTTTAATCAAACTAGCGTTGATATAATCATTATCTCCTTGCTGAAGCTTAATTCGACTATGGTCAACTGTAGAATGAACAGAAGGGAAAAACACAGGTGGCTGAACACTCATACACTATTCTATGTTTAACAATTTATGCGAGAACAGGAGCAGGTATCTTCTCATTTCCAGATAATGAAACACGAACAACATCCATCATATGTGATTTTCAATAATTCTTGGGAAAAAAGGAAAGGGGAAGGAGAAGACATGTTTAAGAAAGTGTGATATTAACAAGACATGTTTGGATCATACTTTCATGATTGTTCTATACAATTAGAAACAGATCTACAGATGTTCTATTAATATTTTATAGGCATCTTAAAAAGTCACTGCTTACTATCAGAATAAAACAGACTCTCAACCATTGAAAATCTTACTGTTTCCACTTGCTTTGTTATATATCTTTTGTCGATGACTGCATCTTCTAACTCATCTATTACCAGTATCCAAGTACTCTGAGAGTTTTTGTTGTTTAGTTGTTAAGTTGTGTCCGACTCTTTGTGACCCCATGGACCAGAGCAGGCTCTCCTGTCTTCCACTGCCTCCCGGAGTTGGGTCAAATTAATGTTAGTAGTTTTGATGACACTGTCCAACATCTCGTCATATGTCGTCCCTGTCTCCTCTTGCCTTCACATTTTCCCAGCATCAGGGTCTTTTCCAGGGAGTCTTCTCTTCTCATGAGATGGCCAAAGTATTGGAGCCTCAGCTTCAGGATCTGCCCTTCCAGTGAGCACTCAGGGTTGATTTCAAAACTGTCAGGTTTGTTCTCTTTGCAGTCCAGGGGACTCTCAAGAGTCTCCTCCAGCACCACAATTCAAAAGCATCAATTATTTGGCGGTCAGCCTTCTTTATGGTCCAGCTCTCACTTCCATACATCGCTACTGGAAAAACCATAGCTTTGACTATGCGGACTTTTGTCGGCAAGGTGATGTCTCTGCTTTTTAAGATGCTGTCTAGGTTTGTCATCGCTTTCCTTCCAAGAAGCAGGCGTCTTTTAATTTCGTGGCTGCTGTCACCAGTGATCATGGAGCCCAAGAAGGTAAAATCTGTCACTGCCTCTTTATCTTCCCCTTCTATTTCCCAGGAGGTGATGACACCAGTGGCCATGATATTAGGGTTTTTTTTATGTTGAGCTTCAGACCATTTTTGGTGCTCTCCTCTTTCATGCTCATTACAAGGTTCTTTAATTCCTCCCCACTTTCTGCCATCAGAGTGGTATCATCTGCATATTGGAGGTTGTTGATATTTCTTCCGGCAATCTTAATTCCGGCTTGGGATTCATCCAGTCTGGCCTTTCGCATGATGTATATTGCATATAAGTTAAATAAGCAGGGTGACAATATACAGTCTCGTCATACTCCTTTCTCAATTTTGAACCAATCAGCTGTTCCATATCCATTTCTGACTGTTGCTTCTTGTTCCACATATAGATTTCTGAGGAGACAGATAAGGTGATCAGGCACTCCCATTTCTTTAAGGACTTGTCATAGTTTGCTGTGCTCCACACAGTCAAAGCCTTTCGCATAGTCAATGAAGCAGAAGTAGATGTTTTTCTGGAACTCTCTAGTTCTTCTGCCCCTTTGAAATCCAGCTTGTGCTTCTGGGAGTTCTCGGTCCACATACTGCTGAAGCCTACCTTGGAGGGATTTTGAGCATAAACTTGCTAGCGTGTGAAATGAGTGCAATTGTACAGTAGTTCGAGTATTCTTTGGCACTGCCCTTCTTTGGGATTAGGATGTAGACTGATCTTTTCCAATCCTCTGGCCACTGCAGAGTTTTCCATACTTGCTGGCAAATTGAGTGTAGCACCTTAACAATGTCATCTTTTAAGATTTTAAATAGTTCCACTGGAATGCCATCACCTCCACTGGCCTTGTTAGCCATGCTTTCTAAAAAGAATGGCTAACTCTGACAGTTACTATACTTCATTTCTGAAGAGATGAAATGTGCTGTCTTTAGCCTCCTCAGATATAGAAGAATCACCCTCATTTTACAGGAAAACTAAACTGACTGGAAGCCATATTATCATCTAAAATGAAAAAAATCAATGATGGTTACCACAAAAAGAACTCCTAGAACTGATCGGTAAGCAAAACTGTGTGCAACTTTATAGCTTCTATTGAGTTTTCCTGGAAGACTTAACAGATTTTTGAGCCTATTAAGTAACTGTAGATGTTTTCTAGGACATGGAGAAATTGTTATCTTCTGCTTAAAAGTAGATGGAAGATCCATGACTGTAGCATATGTGACAATTAAAAGCAAAGATTACATCAGATGTCGATAGTTATTACTATGCCTTTGGATATAAGCGGCTGCCAAACTACATCATGTCTTGTTTGAAGGTTTGCGCATTGAAGAGGACAGCGTACAGGATTTGGACCAGGGAGACTTGGTTTCAAATCCCTACTCATCATCTCTCAGACAGAGCTGCTGCAAAGAGCTGGTGGAAGGATAAAATGAGAATGCAATATAGGCTGGTCTAAGGGAATGGAATGGAAAAATGGACTGATGGCCATGAGCTTCGACGGCTTAAAAGGGGAAATATAAAAATGCTCTGAGAACAAGGCTACAGGCCACCTCTAGACCCAGGGGCAAGAGGCTTCTGAATACCAGTTGCTGGGGTGTAACAGGAGGAAAAGGATCTGGCCTTCACTCATGAGCTTCCTCAAAGCAACAGTCTGGCATTCTGAGAAGAATACTGAATTTAAGAGGCAAAGCCAACAGTAGTATAAGGCAGAGTAAGCTCAGTAGTTTAGGTATATGGCTGTGAAGCCAGAGGTTGGGAGTTCAATTCCCTGCTGTGCCTCCTATGAATAGAATGGCAAAACCCTTCAGAGTACTCGCTTCTTAGAAAAACCTAGAAAGGGTCACCATATGCTGGAGTTGACTTATCGCAAAGAATTATTATTGTCCTGGAAGAATTTCTAAAATATCACTGATAGAAGTGCTCCTTTTTTCAGCATTTTAAGATACACAGAAGTAGACACAGGGACGAATTAAAAAAAATAAATTAGTAAAAATAAAATCACTGATTTGTTAAATATTCATCCCTTCGTATTTGTGAGTTCCACAAATGAATATGATGAATATTTGTTCATTTTATTCATTCCCCATAAGAGAGGGAAGGCTATAGCTTTCCCACTCTGCCGATGGGACCACCGAATAGCTGGCTATAGGCAGTGAGTCAGTCCCGCAGCCACCCATCCCCACAGCTGTCCCCCCTTCTCCTCCCTACCTTAGGTGCTGCCACCGGGTACCACTGCAACCCATCACCGCCCGTTACTGCCATTATTCATTGCTGTCCACTGCAGTGGCCTCTGCAAACATGGCCTGCCATAAGGGACAATGGCTGCCCTTTGCAAAGATGGCGCTGCAGCTTCTTCTAGGCCAAGGGAGCTGCAGCCGCCATCTTTGCAAAGGGCAGTCCAGAGTCCCTTAAGGCAGGCCATAGCAGCAGAGGCCATTCCAGTGAGCAATGGTGGATGGTAGCTGTGGAGGCTACCGTGGCACAGGCTGCCACACATAGCGGTGGCACAAACTGCGAGTCCAAATAACATCAATGTAGGGAGATGACAGGGGTAGGGGGAAAGGGTCAGGGGGGTCAGGCTGTGGCGGGTGGGATGAGTGTCAGCTTTTTTCTTTTTAACCCCCAATGAACTGATGAATTGATTTGGGGTTCATGGGGAGAAAATTCATGGTTCATCAACTTTGATGGACCATGAACCAGCACGAATCGCCTGTGTAGAGATGGGGCGGTTTGTCCCCATCTCTACACAGAAGTATAGTTTCATTTCTACATAATTAACAACCAGAATCCAATCACATTTTTACATGGGAATAATGTCTGACAGTGAACTACTGCAAGTTAAGAAATCATCTCAGGCATTTGCTCCAGTGTGCTGAGTCTTCAATTTGCATGTCACAGCAAATGCCTACAATGACATATTAATTTGTGGCAGTTCTTCATCAAGACATATGCTAATTGCATTATGCTGGCTGGCATAACCAACAGAATTCTGGTCAGTCCTGCACTGATCTCAGAAAACAGGCATGAAAAATACAATACACTGGCAACTTCATGTCCGCATGCAGTTGCATACTGGATAAGCTTCACACATCCAGAGCAGATGATCTACTGTCTGTATTATCCTTCTGCAGCTCCTACTACGGAACTATCTTATCACAAAGTTCACAATCCCAGTTTCTAGAGCAAGCACTAAATATAATTTAGTGCTTGCTCTTTTCCAATTTGCACAAAAAAGGCAAAAAAAAGTCTGACAGAAGAAGAAGAAGAAGAAGAAGAAGAAGAAGAAGAAGAAGAAGAAGAAGAAGAAGAAGAAGAAGAAGAAGAAGAAGAAGAAGAAGAAGAAGAAGAAGAAAGAAGAAGAAGAAGAAGAAGAAGAAGAAGAAGAAGAAGAAGAAGAAGAAGAAGAAGAAGAAGAAGAAGAAGAAGAAACAGGAAAGAAAACTAAAATGCTCCAGAAAGATTCACCTACATCTGGAAGGTCAATTTATAGCAAACCTTGGGCCAACAGCACTACACCTGGAAATGGCCAGAAACAGGGTTTTTTCATTATAAAAAAAGTAAAATAGGAGGTGCCCAGATGTGCACTTTCAGTTTTTATGTTTTGAGGGTTTTTTGGAAGACATGAGAGGCCTTGGAGAGCTGCAGTCTGTAATGCAAAAGCTGCATTTCTTCTTATATGCCTCTAGAAATGCAAACAGACCTTTTTAACAACAATGTTTACATATTTTAAGGGGGACTGGAGGGGCCTTGGGGGTCTGGAAAAAGACGCCCTTGAGGAACAGACTGCATTTTACCAAACCCAGACTGATATGATGCCAAACGGTTACCTATAGGAAGTAGTGAACCTCCTTAAATAAATCAAGAGTCACAATACTTACAAGGGCTGACATCTCTGTACCTGTTACGATTTTTGTTTCTGGGAATTTTGGCCACTTTACATGGAAATTCGCTGGCTTCATGTCTTATATCCTAGAAAGAAAGAAATTAAGAGGTTTGTACATGATGGTGTTTACATAAAAGACTTACTGTTCATTGTATAATATTTTTTTTTCAACCTTCAATTTCTTAGTTCAGAAAAATCATTTAGAGCTATTGGCTGCTTCAACCAAATGGGTTGATTCTGTTTGGAAAGGCTGCATATAAATTGTTAAGGCTACACAACTCAGGTTTTCATACTGAATGTGACAAAGATTCTTGGAAGAATCAGGCTCATACAACAGGCTGGTAAGATGAGACAGATAAGACATTTTATGTGATACAGAGTATAATTCCACTGTTTTAACAAAATGTACCAGCAAAGGTTTCATTTAGCTGCAAAGGACTTGGTAGTGTAAGCAGAGCAGCTAAGCAGAGCTATCTACAGGAACACATTTGTTCTCTGATATCTTACATGCCCCCGTTGCATAAATACGTATTAATAGCTAAAAATGGCAAATGCCTGGTTAAGATAAGAACCCAAGTTTTCTTGAGTCATGAGCAAGCTGTGCTTGCCGTAGAAGGAGAAAGGATTCTTTGTACCCAAGACATTCTGCATTATCAAAGCAGCAATAAAGTTTCAAATATAAAGATAAAGCCAAGTCACTTCACCATAACTAATGATGCTGAGGATTTTTTTGGTCACCTTTAATACAAATTGAGCAAGTGTGAACATATGACAGGAGCTTAATACAGAAGGTACATGGCATTAGAAAGTACAGAAGGCTGTGCAGGTTGAGAAACAGAAAGCGAGAAGTTAACGGTACTTATCTGAGACATTATCAAAAACTAACTGGTGAAAAAGGAAACTTTGGAAATCCCAGAACAGGGATCCTGCATGTGTACAGAATGAATAGAAAAACTTTTAAAGGCTATCCCAGAAAATTAAACAATATGCTGCGCCAAACACATCACTTTCCACTAGGTTTGGAGGGGTGCCATTTTTTATTTATTTCATTAGTTAAACAACTGTAAAACGGTTTACACAAACACTGCACAAATTCACTTTGTTTTCCAGAGTCGCTTTGGACATAAGAGACGTCTACCACCAGTTCACAGTCACGTTGATTTTCTTCTCCACATAGAACACCCACGTTGTTGCAGACTGTACACAGCTCTACGCTTACATAGGGCTTGCCTATCGCTTTTACATTCAACCACACTGAGACTTCCAAATACTGTACATTTTAATAATAATAATAATAATAAAACCCTTCTGTCTTAAGATCATGTTTCTGCACATTAGAAATAACATTGCATATGGTGATATGACTACTGCTGAAAAAAATATATTTGGACAGAAGGGTTCAACAAACATTTCTTTCCAAGGCAAGGTGCTCAAGCAGGTGACCAGTCAACTCCAGGTACTCTTGGATGAGCCAATTCCTATATCATTCCTGTTTCAGTCCTGGTTTTGACATGCGAGTTGCCTCAATCATCTTGTGACATAACCTGTGCCTGAACCAAGATGGCAGTGGTGGGAGCATAACCCTGCTAAGAGTGCTGCTTCTCAGTGGTTTTACTTGTACCTGGATGACCTGAAGCTGGTGTTACAGAGAAGGATTCACATCCTACATGCCTTCACTTCAGCCTGTATCAGTGCTGTTCAGACACAGGTTGATACTTCTCCCCATTATAGCATCAACACAAGACAGAGTAAGCAGCATCAACCTAATGTTTATTTTGGTGGTCTTCCCTGCGTCCACTAAATTTCAGCAGAGGCCAACACCACCATCCCTTTTCCTTAAGGAAAATGGAAGCCATACAGAAGTTCTAAGCAGCTTGTAAAAAAGATATGTGTTCCACAAGTATCTTGTTCTAAAGCAGTGATGGTGAACCTATGGCATGTGTGCCACAGCTGGCACGCAGAGCCCTTTCTTCTGGCACGTGAGCCATAGGTCGCTACTCCTCCCCACCTCCCCTGTGCAGCCAAACCTCATGAGGCAGCTGCAGTTGGGATTCCCCCTTCTGCTGCTACTTCCAGGTCCATTGGCATGATTCCCCTTAAACCACTACTTAAGTTTCCAGTATTCTGGGTCCATGTCCGTCGCCACCGCACGCCACCTGCTATTCTGTATTCTGGGTCCATGTCCGTCGCCACCGCTCTTGCGGCGGTGGCACGCCACCCGCTATTCTCCCCCCTTTTGGGCTTGCGAGCCCAAAAAGTTCACCACCACTGTTCTAAAGGATACTGCCAATCCACCCCTCCCCTCTGTATATTATATGGTAACAGTAGGGGTAAAGAAGAAGCAATCTGCCTTTAAAACAAGCCATGTTTACAAACTGACTGGTGGTTCCAAAATATGTTCCAGAGAATGAATCTCTTAGTACACAAGGTGCATGCTCAACATGCCTTGTTTTTAAGGCAGGTGCCTCTGCCTACTCTGCTGGTGCTACATTGCCAAAATTCGACAGCATGCTATGAGGAACTACAATTCCTGGTAGATGCAGGGGGAAATCAGTGTGGCCCACCAAACACCACAAGTTGCCCATCTCTGCTCTAGAGGGAAAAAGTAACATTTTCAATATAAAGTTAAGTAGTAAAAAAAAAAACTTTGAAGGAGAATGTTTAAGATGAAATCTCATGTGCTAAATGGTTAAGCATTTGGTACATGAGTAACAGGACATTAATAATTACCCACAAGAATAATTTAGGAAAGATACACAGCTTGTGAACTGGGAGGAAGAAGAGGCAGCTGTTCCTCACCACCCAAGAAATCTAAATTGAATAGCTTCCTGTTTTCTTCATGAGAAAAACCTCTGCTTACATGAAATGTGAAAAAAAGGATAAAAAGAGACTTAAGTGGCACATAGTTATTGCTGTTCTCCAACTAAAGTTTCCAGATTCGACACAGAATACTGCCAAATGACTGTGAACTACTTGTATAAATTAAAGTGATGGTTCCAAAATGAACTGCCAATTTGAGAAATTGTCCCTCACTCCTATAGCTATAATCCTGTAATCCAAGCCAGAGGTTGGAAGTAATTCATTAGAATTAGTCCATTAACATTAAATTTGCTACTTTCTGGTGCCAACTGTAGAAAAAGATTCAAAATCTAACCATACAAAAATATTTTTGGAAGTAAAGTTAACAGGGTTTTTATTAGTTAAAATGTCAGTTTTGACATGTTCTTTGCAGATGACAGACACATTGTCGTCAAAGTGAAAGGTATCTAAAACTCCCTTTGAACTCCTGATTTATACTAGGTGGCCCCATCCTTGGTCCTATTGGAGTATTTGGACTATAACGTCCAGAAGCCTTAACTCATACAGCCACCTGTCTATGGTGTTTTGGAGTTATAGCTTTGGAAATAGAAGAGGGAAGGGAAGTTGGCCCACTTATTCTGGGTCCTGCTATTGTGTGAGCAGACGCTGACTGCTGGATTGATAGAAAAAGCAAAGTTTCTTACAGATATGTATAAAACAGACCAATCAGAAAACTGTTTGAATCATCCATGCAACAATCAATCCATAACAATTAATTAATCAGGCCATCAACAATAAAACAACCAACAGTAAATTAGCATGGTGAGGAAGTCACAATCCATATACCCAGTCTAACAACTACCCAGTAGCAGCAAAAACAGAGATGAATTAAGACGTCACCATGGTACCGAAGTGAAACCACTGTGAACTCCATAGACAAAGCTTCTATCTAAAAGTGATCAGACTAAAGGTCGGAAAAGAAACAAAACCAACTATACGCAACTCTAGCAGCTAAAATGGAAGCACTATGTGATTTAGCAGAAGAACGAACCGCTCTTCTTCCACATAAGCCCCTAGCTGTCAATCCTGTCAATCAGATAAAACGTCCTGTCAAGTTCTTGAGAAATTTAAAAACAACAACAGCAACCTTACAGTGTGGAGTGGCCAGGCAGTAATTTTGATTCTTGCAGTTATTTTTATCAACCTATCCTGGTTACAGAATAGTGCTTGGTAATACAGTAGGGAAGTAAGTAAGCAAGAATAATCTTGCTGCTATGAGTACCTTTGCAATGGTGGCTTTCCTAGAAAGCCCCTTGCTGATTCAGTACTACTGAAGTAATATGACACGTGCTTTAGTGAAGCACGTACGCAGCATGCCATGGACTCCAGTCAGAAGTCCAGAATCTTGACATACATAGGCTTGTGCAATCTAGGGAGAGCCATTAGATCAAGCCCCTTTGTACAGAAGCCTGACTCCTTTTTGCTTATTACATCACAACGAAGCCAGACATGTGAATGTTCATCGCAGAACTTACCATCTGTGCCCACATTAGCACTGAAATGGCACACAGATGGGTAGCCGGGATCTGCCCCCCTGATGAGAATTAACCTCCCACTGGAAACTTGCCAAAGCTGTCTGAGCGTTGTCTGAAAACCTTGCAAATCTTCTTTTGGCTGGCTCTAGTAGCCTGGAAATAAGGTGATATGAGAACTGAGTTTCAAGAAAATATGGTGCAATAGGCAACATATTTGTTTCATGTATGTTTACCATCTCCCAGCCTCTTGGATGGACAAGGCAACAAATGAGTAAATAACAAAATACACAAGCTTCCAACCTTCTGAACCCAGCAGACCAATTTTATTGGTTGATTGCTTAAAACCATAGGTCATCACAATATATCACTGACAGCATCAAACATATGTGGCACTATCATTTCACAATTACACTTAAAAAGAAAGATTTAGGATTTTGGATGTTTGGCACGAATCTTCTTTGCTGCCAGGGCAAATTTTGCTACTTGATGGGTAGCAAATACATCCCTGTCCAAAAGGATACAAGACACCATACACAATTAGCCAGCACACAGGAACAAATTATTCCAGAAGTATGTATGAGTACAAACAACATGACAGAACAGCTAACTTTTGCAACCTTTACCTTTTCTGAATCAAATACCAACAAAGTTCTGTCAATTTGACTTGCAACTTTTTTTTCTTCTCTGGCAGGTCTGCTATGTTGATTTTTTTTCTTTTAACTTTGTGTAGCAGATTGCTATAAGAAGCCCAG